CCATTCCCCGCTACCGTGTAGAAAGAGAATTGGGTTCTGGATCCTCTAACCTCGATACTCCGCCTATGGATTCTATCAGCTTTTTCTGTCTGTCCCTGAGGACTTTCAACAGTGAAGCTGTTGGACTCAGCGTGTTCTTCGTGGGAGACTTTTAATTGTGAATTTAGTATCTTCAATTGATAGGGGGCTCCTTGTGTTACTTTTGTAGTTTACATCTCCCCAGCTGCTTGTCTGTCTCCTCTAAGGCATCTAAGTTGTCGAGCGCGTCAGCACAACGTTGTCTGCCTTCCCACTTCGTTATTTGAACGTCTGCAGCCTCTGTGCCGATCCGCCTTTAAGAAAGTCATTCCTGACGTTGGCAGCTTGTTTCTTCTCTCCCTTTTTCCTTAGAGGTGAAGCCAACTTTACTGATCTTTTCAAACAACTAAACTCGGTTTCATTCATCTTCCCTCTCGCTTGCCCGTTTCCTGTTTGGTGGATTTCTGCACTTCTGGATTACTTCCTTCCCTCTGCTTACTTTTGGGTTTAACCTGTGTCCAAAGTTCTTTATTGCTTCTTAAGGTAGAAGCTTTGGTTTCAGTTCTTCCTTCTTCTCTAAGTTATTAAAGCTACGCACTTCCCTCTATTCACTATGTTAGCTGCATCCCACAAGGCTCACTTTTATTTTATTCAAAATATTTCCTAATTTTTATCCTGATTTCTTCTTTGACTCATGGATTATTCTGAAGTGTGATGTTTAATTTCTTAATATTGGAAATTTTTCTAGATATCTTTCTGTTGACAGTTTCTGATTCTTTTGTGGTCAAATAACCTTCTCTGTATGATTTCAGTCGTATTAACTATACTGAGACCTGTTTTGGCCAGCATGGGACTTATCTTGGTGAATGTTCCATATGCACTTGAAAAGATGTGCATTCTGCTGTTGGGATGGCATGTTGTATGAATGCCAAGTAGATCAGATTAGTTTCTAGTGGTTTTCAAATTTTCTATATGCTTAATAATTTCATTAAATTCAGGAAATATTTGGCCATTATCTCCTAAAATCCTTTCTGCTCTT